GTTTCTTTCAAACTGAGGAAGAGCTGCTACAAACAGCTTTGGAAATCTTCCTAGAACCGATTATTCAAGATCTAGTGAGTTGCTAATAATTACAATTGGGGCAGAACACCGATACAGGCCTTGCATTGGCAATTTACCAGCTTTGGGAAAATAGTTTTTTGCTTATTTGAAAATGAATAGCTTTTTTTGAAGCAGCTTTTGAATCAAGCTGGAGGAGGTTGTGTGGCATTAACACTTGCTCTTCCTGCTTTTATAACTTACTTTTATCCTGTTTGATTTTTCTATGTTTATTATTATTGCACATGTATACCAGCAAAAAGGCAAATGGTCAAGCAATTTAATAAAGAAATGCATTAATTATATATAAATCTCTTGTCTTGCAAATGCCACTTTTGCTGTAATTGCCTCTTGAGAATTGATGCCCCCACTTAGTTTCTCTTCTGACATATCTGTAGTGTAATAATGAATAAATAATTACATGCAGAGAGATGCTTTTAAAACTTTAGTTATGTTTCTAGGCTTGTAGGCTTGAAGGATCAAAGACCAAATTGGAACTCCATCAGTAATATTGTCTACTTACATGCATAAAATAAGTGACAGGCAGTTTGCCCTGTAGTGTGTTTTTAAAATCAGAAGGTCAATGGGGTATTTCCTTTCTGAGAGTAGTATTGTAGCTGACATGTCTAATAAATGGTGAAATAGGATCTATTAAAGTAGTATATTAAGTGCATAGCAGCCTTTGGTTCTCTAAAAGGTGCTGTCATTCTGTTCTCGTTGCCTTTATGAAACAGGTGTTTGGCTATAATGTCACTGTGGGGAGCTTGGAGTCTAGCTAAAATGAGGTAAAGGTGATGGAAACTTTCTGTTTTTATGGCCTATTTGAGGAGGACACACCTATGACTTGGCTACAGCCTAGTCACTAGCACCTGGTTCAGAAAGTCACTGAAACCAGCCCTTTCTCTAGAAACAAATGCTCACTCATACACAGGGCATACCTACATCATAATGTCTGGGCTACAAGACATGGCAAACAGCTTGGCTCTGTTGCCATGGCTTGTGGATCTTTGCCCAAACTTAGTGCTCCAAAGATCAAATGGCTGCCCAGTCACTGTGGTATCCTCCTGACTTCACCATGCATCCTGGCAGCCCCTGCAAGCAAAATCCCCATCCTTTCTTTATTTTTGCCTATGTACTGTAGCAGTGTTCTCCGGACTGGTCCACTGTGGTCCTGAGGCAGGTTCCCCCTTTCCTCTACTGAGTGGACCTGTATATCTGTGCTTCCCAGGCACTATAGCCCCCAAAATTTTGTATTAAATGAAAACAAACAGTTTTGCCACAATTCCCCCTTCTTCTCCCATGCATGTTCGCATGTTCACACTATTTCCATTTCCAAAAGTAAACAGGGAGAAGGACACTTTGCTCCATAAATGGGAATAAAGTGAGGAATGACATGCCCTTTGCTAGGGAGCAGAGGGCAGTAGAGATCAAAGACTAGAAGTGGCCACTTTTACGGCCTCTCTTGGCGGGGTACTTTGTGGTGTTTCCATACCAACGATGGTAAAGTGGTGATCCTGTGTCCTAGAGAGGCTAGAGAAGTTGCAGTGAAGCATGAAAACTTTAGAACAGACTGTTCCTGTTTTCTGTGGTTTCAGAAAAATAATCCTGCCACACAGGAACTCTGGGGGTGAGTCCGAACAACACAACTGCCCCACAATGGTAAGATTTACCCATGGCTTCTCAGGTTGTGCAGGCTCACCCAATGTGATACAACTGTACAGCAGGAAGATCATTGTCTGAACTTTTCCCCTGAAAAGGAGTAGGAAATTTGCATGAACTGCCTGGGCATACAGCTGTGTCACACACTCATGCTCCCCTGCCCTTCCTACAGAAAGGCAGTTTTCGATGAGCGCATATGAGGATTCTGATTACTACCGCTGCAAGTGTTGCCACATCAAGCAGAAAGTTGTTGTTGCTGTTAGGTACCACCAAGTCATTTTAGACTTATGGTGACCCTATAAATGAAAGCCCTTCAAAATGACCTGTCCCTCACAGCTTCATTCAGCTCTTTGAAGTTCAAGACTGAGGCTTCCTTTACAGATTTAATCCATTCCATATTTGGTCTTCCCTTTTATCTGCCACCTTCAACTTTCCCTAACACGATTGTCTTCTCCAGCGACTCTTGTCTTCTCATGATGTGTCTGAAGTATGACAGCCTCTGTTTTGTCATTTTTGCTTCCAGGGACAGCTCTGACTTGATTTGATCTAGGAGCTGCTTGTTCATCTTTCTGTTGGTCCAGAATATTGGCCAAGCTCTTCTCCAACACCATGTTTCAAGTGCACTGTTTTTCTTCCTATCAGCTTTCTTCGCTGTTCAGCTTTCACAGCCATACATGGTGATCAGAAGTAGCAAGGTGTGAATGATCTTGGCCTTGGCCTCCAGTAAAATGTCCTGACACTAGATGATCTTTTCTAATTCCTTCATGGCTTTATTCTTCAAGCAGAGTAGCTCCAAGCAATATCAAGATAGAGAGCTCCAGAGCTCCGATGGAACTGGTAGTACCAATTAGTAGTAGTAGTTGCAACTGAAGTATGGCTTGCAATAGGCTCTGAGGGAAGGGACAGCAGACATCTTAAAACAAATGGAAGTGATAGCAAAGTCAGGGTTATTATTTTATTTATTTATTTAAAACATTTGTATGCCGCCCCCATTGCAACAAAGCCTCGGGGCGGCTCACAACAAGAAGACTATTATTCAGACTATTACGCTGGGGAACTAGCTCCCAGTGCGAGACCATACAGTATTGCAGGGGCATCCCGACAGCAAAAGGGTGCGCCATATTCTGCCAGGTGGGTGAGCTTTACAGCAGCAGAACTCTTTGGATAGCCTGTGACCTTAGCCTTATCTATATCTTGTGTTATTCTCTGAGACACAGTGAAGCTTCCTTGATCATTTCTTCCCTCTCAGTAACTTTGGATCAATTTACTGCCTGAGCCCACTGCATAGCAGCAGGCAGCATCTGAAAAACAGCTGCTGTATCAAACAACATTTATAGCTATTGTATCGCTATGTCCTTGTTTTAAAAATGCTTTCAATTTTCCCCAAACCTAAGCTGTTGTAAGTCTCATAGCTTTCAAAAAGTGGCCATGTGTGATTATTTTTAGTGCTTCTAAGTCTGGGGAAGTATTTACCAAAGGTCTTTCTCTGCGTTTTGGCCAATGCATATATAGGGCAGAAAGGTGTTCTTGTCTTGGGAGGGTCATCAGTACAACTTCCCTCTATTTTTCAAGCCTGAGGAATTTGATACAGGAAGTGGATGTGCAACAGAAGCCAAATCTCCCGTCACCATGCAGTAAGCCTTTCCTCCCTAGCTAAAGCTCCCTGTACTTAACCGTGGTGTAACGGGCACATTCAACAGATCAGGTTTGGAAAGTGCAGCTGTTGCACTTTTTCCTGTGACAAAGCGGCTGCAAGCACAGCCAAGGGGTGTCTTGCACCCACATCCTGTCAAACTTTAGGTGCGTTCAAGGGAGACTCCTTGTGCTGGTTATGCTGATGATTCGGGGACCAATGTTGAGGATGAGCGTTTTTGGAAATGGCTCAGACTTCAGCTGGGCTTCAAGGTCCTGAGACTCAATGGGAGGTAGCAATGGGGGAGATTAGTCCAAAGGCATGTGGGGAGACCAGTCAACCTGGCCAGGGTGATGTTGAGGAACCACAGTCTGAGGGAGGAGACGTTGAAATGGGAAGCCTCTCTGAGAGAGAACAATGGCCCCCTGAAGCAGTAGACCCCAGTCACTCATCTCATCACTGAAGGGAAGCCCAATTAGGGGCACAAAGAGAACAGCAGAGGTGTGCTTATTTTCACAGTACGCTGCCTCTGGGGTTGAGAGGCAGAAGGGCTCATAGAGCTCTGGGGAAAGAATGGTCGAAAGGGTTCAACACGTCACTTTGTGTATGCTCAGAGACATGTGTAACGTGCGAGTTCATTAAGCAAAGAAATGCTGGAGGTTTGGATGTTGCTTGGAGGGAGAAACACGGATCGCGACAAGTGGGGAAAACATGGCTGTCTTAAGTAAACTTGTGTTCTTGGTTTAAGTGTAGCATTGAGCAAAAGAGGCTTATGGCATTGCTTTGTTATTATAATAGCCTAGACCTTTGGCACAAATTGTACAATTTGATTTGTAAATCTCAAAATGCTTCATTGTTTCAGCTGTATTGGAATGAAACAACTTTGGCATCCCCTTCCACATCTGTCAAAGGGAAATAGGTACACTTGTTTTATATTAAGTGAACAGACCATTCATAGCATGGTAGCGAAGCAAGCCAAGTAAAAGAACTCCTTCCATGGAGCTGGGCAATAGGCCCTATTAAATCATTTTTGGAATATTAACTTGAAAACATACATTCCCCTTCAAGAAATGCATTGTAAATGACAAACTTGTCTTTTATATTTCAGTGTCAGACATTTGTACATTTTTCTTGCCATACATTTCACATTCTAAATACTAATCTTTAAAAAATTATTAACTACAGCATGCTAGCACTGTTGTATATTTGGTGGGAGCTGGATCCAGCAGAGTTTTATGCTCCTCGTCTTTAAGGTCTGGTACTGGATTTGATGCAGATGAAACACTGCTTGCTCTTTTAATCGATTAAAGCAGCCATGATGGTTCCCCTCCACCCCTGCTTCAGTGGCTGGGTTAATACATCACAAGAAGCAATGGTGATCTCTTACCAATGTTGATCTGTCATGTAGTCTGGACCCAGTCATGGCATTTCTGCATGGTACCTTTAGCTTCCCAAAACCATAGAGAATAAGTGGTTTGTTTTAAGGGTCCCACACTTTGCTAGATCAGTGCAAATGCTGAAACGCCAAACCTTGACTAGGTGATAGCCTGAGGGGTGTCTGCTATATAAGTTCAGCTGCCGCTTATCTTGGGTATTAGCCCACAGAAGCTGCTAAGAGCTTGATTTTTCACTTCGCTGTTGACAACTGTCAAAAGGTAAGCTGTCAAGAAAAACCGAAGCCATGAGAGAAATCGGCTTGCAAAAGTCCGTAGCCAGTAGATTAACCCCCCACCCCCCATTCCTGGCAAGATCTCTAGAGATTTATGTTTGGGGCTGACTTGTCAGGTTCCTTGTACTTTCCCAAGATTCTAAGCACTCGGGAAAATAGAAGAGTGCAAGCTACCACTTTTACAGGAGTGTGGAGGTTTGGCAGCTAGCTGCTAAAACTCTGGTTCCTTTTAATGCTTTTTTACAGGTTTTCCCATGCTATTTTGACAGAATTATATGCCTGCATATGTCCCTGTCAAAAACATCCTTTTAAAAGGATCCAGAGTTCTGTTTGCTGCTGGCAGCTATGCTGTTGGACACATATGATATAGGGAATTTTGAAATCAATTTAAAGTGGAATCAAGAAGTAGAAGTAGCATATATGCACCTTTCTTTTTCATATTATGGTTTAATTTAATATTTTAAAAATTAAAATATTGCCTGGATTTTCCCCTTTGGGAGATCTGTTATTTCCATTTCTCCTTTCAGCTCCTTGATAAATGTCCTTGACATGCTAATGAATCATACCTAATTATTATTTCATATGACTTATATCAATTTGGCCTGATTTCATGTCATTGCAAAAACACTGAGGTCCAGTGATGAACGTACTTCTGATTACTCTCTTCTTCACAGTTCACCAGTTAAACAATGTGCTGAAGCAGAGTTTTGGAGCACTTGGGCTCTTGCAATCTTCTCCTTACTCGGCTGTGGCCTAGAGCTGTTTTCAGCCTGAGAAAGACAGCCAGTAATTGTTGCTACTTAAAAAAAAACCTATCAGTGCATGTAGCAAACATTTTGATCATGGATATTGCCTTACCAATATGTGCAGCCAATATTTATCATCATCATTAATTTTACAGATGCATCTGCTATTTTTATCTCATGCCATTGGCGGGGTATTTGCCCTGCTGTCTCTTTCCTGGTCTCCCAGTACCCAAGGTGTATTTCCAGGACACATCTGGAATGAGTGCTGAGTGTCTCGGAAGAGATTTGAATTCTTGAGCCCAATGACAACCTCTCCTATGCACTGCGTGATGGTCAAGGCTTTGCTAAAAGAATCTCCTTCACCAGGCTATAAATCTTTCATGTGTTTCTTGTTTCTTGCCCAGCTGTAAGGAACAAGTATTTGTTCTGCTGCCATGAGCAGAACAAATATTTCAGAGGGTCTTTCTAGCATTTCAGGGGTTGATTTTTTTCCACATAGGGCTGATTCATACATGCTTGTACATCCTTTGGTTCAGCCTAATTCCACTAAAAATGATTGAGCCTGAGATGACATTAGATCATATGTTGCATTAAATCTGTGGTGTTTTATTCATGCACATATGTAAGAAATTGCTAAAGTAATCAAGAAATGAATATGCATGTGTGTGAACCAGCTTATATTCACTCGTCTTTGCAGCCTCCTGCATTGGATCCCAGCAGGGATGGTATTAGGTATCAAAAAGACCAGGTACTCAGGCCCACAAGACAAAAAAAGCACAAATGTTCATATGCACCAAAGGTATGTCTTTAAAGGAACCTGTCTCCTAAGGACACCCTTATTTGTGAGAAGGACATATGGATAGGGGAGAGGAAGATGTTTGATTTCAGGAAAAAACGCAGGCAGAAAAATCAAGGTGGGAGCAGGAAGTGAAGCACACACGGGGAAAAAGCTAACCCTGGGATCGAATGAAGCAAAGATCATCAGGGTTCCCATGCCTGTATTTTAGCAAGTGCTGGAGGACAACAGGGAGGCAGAGGGCCTTCCAGAGATTTGGGAGTCTGAATAACAGATTTGGGGCTCCAGCCCTAGTGGGTCAGCTCCTAACATTGCCTCTGAATCCCAGTATGATCTCTGCCCTTGGTATTTATGATGTGAAAGGGACTTAGCTGTAGCAGGAAAGATGCTTTGACTGCAGTAGAGCTGAGGATCAGCCTCGAACATTGCCAAGTAAGGCTTGGAAGGACATCTGCCTACATCTCCCTACTTTCCTTTTTGGATAGCCTGATGCTTTAATTCAGATTATTTTATAGATGAAGTCTTTGCAAATTGGTTGACTTCTGTGAGGTGTATTGAAAGCCATGCTGGATTAACACTGTGAGCAGCCTCTTAGATGAAGAACAACGGTATTCTTCCATTCAACTTCCCATGAATGGAAGTCAAAAATTGCAGAATATAACCTGACCAAAAAGAATGGAAGTAACAGAAAAGGAGGTGGAGTTGCCCTTTCTGTTAAAGATACATATCTCTGTGAAGAAATACAGGAAGAAGAGATCAGTAGTCCCATCAAGTGTATCTGGTTTAATATAAATGGAAAAAGGAATAAAAGGAGCATAGTAGTTGGAGTCTATTATCATCTACCCAACCAAGGCGAGGAAAAAGATGAAACGATCAAAAAACAAATTGCCACAGAGGCATGATATCATCATTAGGAGGACTTCAATTTCCCTGATATCTGTTGGGAGTCCCTCTGCCAGGCATGGCCCCTGTAAGGGATTCCTGGCACGGGTTGCTGATAACTTCTTACAGCAGAAAGTAGAAGACGAAATGAAAGGTATGGCCTGATCCTTACTAACAAGAAAGGCATAATGGACAAAGTAACAGCTATGGGAATGCTGGAGGAAAGTGACCATGCCTTAATTGAATTCTCAATAAGAAAGGAAGCTAAAACCAAATGTAGCCAGACAGGTACTCTAGATTTTTAAAAAGCCAATTTCAGCAAATTGAGGGTAATGATAAACTACGTCCCATGGCAAGCCACTCTAAAGGGGAAAGGAGCCCAAGAAGGGTGGAATATGTTAAAAAAGAGAAATGCTTAAGGCACAACCACAAAGAACCCAAACAAGGAAAAAGAGTAGTGGACAACAGAGGAAGCCCATGGGGGATCACAAAACGCTAAGAGATAATTTGAAAACAAAACGGGTCATGTATAAGAGGTGGAAGGAAGGCCAGACTACAAAGGAAGAATGTAAGCAGGTAGCAAGGAACTCCAGGGGTGACATCAGGAAGGCTAAAGCGGTGAGGGGAGCTAAAAACAACAAAAAGCCTCTTCAGATACATCCAGAGCAAAAGCCAGATGAAAGAGAAGAGAACTCAGCTACTCAATGGAACAATGATAACAGATTGCAAAGAAAAGGCGGAAGTGCTCAACTCCCACTTTGGCTCAGTCTTCTCCCAGAAGAAGACCTATAGCCCTCCTGATGAAGGTGTGGTACAAGCTGAAGGGGGAGGATGGCAGCCCAAGATTGACAGGCAAATGGTCGGGATCTATTAATTTGGTTAAATGAGTTCAAATATCCAGGGCCGCCTGATGAACAAGGTCATGAAAGAGCTAGTGGAAGAAATCTCAGAACCACTATCATCTTTGAGAATTCATGGAAGACAAGAGAAGTGACAGATAACTGGAGAAGGGCTAATGAAAGATAATCAGATTTGCAGATGATACAAAACTGGGTGGAATAGCAAATCCTTAGAAAAGAGAATGAAGGTGCAGGGCAATCTTTATAAATTTGAATGCTGGACTGAAAGCAACAGAATGAAATTTAATAAGGACAAGTGCCACCTAGGAAAAAGAAACCAAATGCATTGATACAAGATGGGGAATACGTGGCTCAACAGAACTGGAAAAGAAAAATACCTTGGAGTAATTGTGGACAGAAGACTAAATATGAGCCAACAATGCGATACATCCAACAAAATGGCAAATGCTATTTTGAGATGCATTAACAGAAGCATTGTTTCCAAATCATGAGAAGTTGTAGTTTGCTTATACTCCTCACTAGTCAGACCCCATCTGGAATATGTATCCAGTTTTGGGCACCAAGATTTAAGAAAGATGCAAGAAAATTAGAAAGAGTCCAGAGGAGGGCCACAAAAATGATCCAGGGTTTGGAAACACTGCCCTATGAGGAGAGACTGAATGAACTGGGCACGTTCAACCTTGAGAAGAGAAGACTGAGGGGGGACATGATATCCCTCTATAAGTACCTCAAAGGCTGTCACAAGGAGGAAGGTCAAGATCTCTTCTCACTGATACCAGAGTGTAGGACATGGAATAAACAAGTCAAATTGTGACTACCCAGGTTCAGGCTAGATACCAGGAAAAGTTTCCTCACTGCCAGAGCAATATGGCAGTGGAATCAGTTGCCTAAAGAGGTTGTGGGCTCTCCCACACTAGGCAAAACTGGACAGCCATCTGAGGGGGATGGTATAACATGGTGACCTGCCACAGCAGAGGGTTGGATCCAATGGTTCATGGCCCCTTCCAACTCTACTGTTCTATGATTCTATGATAATGTTGTCACTGTCTACAAGAAAGGGAAAAAAAGATGAACCTAGAAACTATAGACCAGTTAGTCTGACATCAATCCCTGGAAAAATTCTGAAACATATTATAAAACGAACAGTCTGTGAACACCTTGAAGACAATGCAGTAATTACTAGAAGTCAACATGGATTTCTCAAGAACAAACCGTGCCAGACTAATCTGATTTCATTTTTTGTTTGGGTAACCTCCCAAATGGACTGTGTGAATGCTGTGGACACCATCTAGCTAGACTTTGGAAAAGCCTTTGGCAAAGTGCCCCACAACATCCTGATTACCAAACTAGCAAGAAGCAGGCTGGCTAGTGCAACAATTAGGTGCAACCTTTAGGTGGATCCACAGCTGGCTGCAAAATTGGATTCAAAGAGAGCTCATCAATGGCACATTCTCAGACTGGAGAGAGGTGACAAATGGAGTGCTGCAGGGGTCTGTCCCGAGATCGGTACTGTTCAACATTTTTATCTATGATTTTGATGAGAAAGTAGAAGGAAAGATTATTAAATGTGCAGATAACACAAAGCCAGAATAGCAAATAACCTGGAAGTCAGAGATAAGATACAGGGTGATCTCGAAAGGTTAGAACACTGGGCAGAGAACAACGGAATGAAATTCAATAGGGGAAAATGCCAAGACCTCCACTTAGGAACAAGAAACCAAATGCAGTGCTACAGTATAAGATGGGGAGCACTTGTTCAGCAGTACTGCAAATGAGAAGGATCCTGGGGTTGTTGAGGATCACAAGCTGAGTATGAGCCAACGGTGTGATGTAGCATTGTTTAAAAAACAACCACCATTCTTTTTGTATTTTTTTCACTTGATGCTGGAGTGCTGCAAATCAACATGCTGGCCTCAACTGCTTTATTTCCAAGATTACCCATGTCCGCTCCAGAGTCATTCTTAGAAAATAAAATGGGTGGTGGCAGGTTCCCAGGATTTCATTCCGATGTGTGCCAGCCACCAAGAGAGAGTGGAAGAAGGCAGAAAGAGATGGGCAGTATCCTCCAGTCCAGAGCCTGGGGGGTGGGGGGGGGGGAGGAATCAGCTTCTGGGAGGAGTGCAGAGGAAACGGCAGGGAGGGAGGTGTGATGCATTTGTTTCTGGCTGGTTTGGGGGAGCTGTTTTGTGTGGTGTGCACTTTGTCTGGTTCTGTGTCCTGTCTTCTGGGCATTGCTAGATCAGCTTCGATCAAGTGGAATGTTGTGCTTTGTGGGCAAATGCATGATTTGGTGTTTGAGGCTCACATTCCCCCCCTGCCTCGTACATTCTTGGGCATGTTACTTTTTGCTTAGCCTCTCCAGCTTGCCATTGTGAAATGGGCGGTCTGTGACTGGACACACTCACCATAGCAACCATTTTGTGCTAGTACCCACACAGCATTCTCAAAATTCCAAATGTATCCCATCAGTCCCAAAAGGAAAACATTAGGGATTTAAATGGAAGTCATTAGGGAGCACTTTGTTTTAAAAACCAAGCCAAAACACCACCATGCCAACAAAGCAGAGCCAGGTCAAGTCATTTTGCATCCTGAGGTGGAAAATCCAAACAGTCCTCCCCTGCTATAAATAATGCTACATGAAATAGCAGTCGGTTTCATGGTCCTAAAATCTATTGTGTGAGGCAGTTGTATAGCTCTATGGCCAACTGTGAATTATGTTTTCTCTTATACACTTCTACTTTTGCCTCAGGGTTTGAAAAAATATGGTGTGCTGTGGGTAACACTGTGGTTGGTTTGTCAGGGCTCCTTCGTGGCTTATTATTTCCCTCACAAAATAAGCAATAGACTCAGCAACAAATGTGGAAAAAGTGTGGGGTGAGTCACCTATGTGTGAGGTTCATTAATTTCTCGAGTAAGGCATGTTGGCCAGTTGGCATGGTTTTGGATTTTGCTCAGGAGTTTTTGAGATGGTGATCAGCTTGTTGTGTTGCGCAAATCCACTGTGGCTTATAAGTTCAATGTCTATTGTAGAGTTTAGTAGCTACCCCTTTGCTTGCGGCATCATCTGAAGCTGGATGACCACCCCACTACAGAGCCACTGTCCAGAAGCTCTCAGGCAAATACCTCTGACAGCCACCCCCAGAATGCCAAGGGGCACTTGAACGCAGCTGTCAGAAGCTTCCCCCAGGCCCTCTCCACTGCTGCTTGGGGAAGCCGTGGTGTGAGGGAGCCGCAGTCACCCTTTGGCTGGCAGCCATGACACAGGGTGAAGGCTGGCTCAGCCGGCTGGTGAGTCAGCTGAGCTGAATGCGGCCGCCCCGTCTGGCACTGCTGCTGCTTGCCATAGGCACTGGATGCTGCCAGGTGACCTATTCAGCCTCAGCATCACCAACAGCACTTACTGTGGCTTGCAAGATCTACTTGTGGGTTGAGTGGGGGCTGCTAATGACCCCTGCTTTCCCACACTCTCCTCCCTGACCTGGCTACAAGTGGAGACAGGGAGGAAACCTGGGTGTTCCCAGATATCCATGGGATACCTGTGGGAGGGCTGAAGGGAATGTGTGTGTGTGTGTGGGGGGGGGGAGCATGGTGCACCCTCCCCAAATGGCACCCCATTGTCTCTCAGGTGTCTTGTGGATAGGGTGGCTTATAAGTAGTAGTCTGGTTTACCGTGTTGTGCGAACCCATCCACAGAGTTGCCCCAAAATACAAGGAAGATTCCTTCTATAGCAGGATGATTTTAGGGTGGGTTGCTGGGAACAGCCAGGGAGCTGCCCAAGTAGAGCATCAAAATCCCTGCACTCCATGCAGTCTTGCTTTTGTCGCCATCATTGTCCCTCGTCCCTTCTCAGTGCCTTCCCCCTGCGCGCCTAGAAATTGGAAGGGCCCCAGACAAAGTCCCAGATGCACGTGCAACTTTAAAAAAAATCAGTCTTGTGCAAGTGCCTAAATGACAGCTACCTTTACATTTCCAGTCGTCCCTTCTGTGCCAGGATGTGTGTGTGTTCACTGATCCCATGCACTGCGCTGTAACTCAGCAAAATGTGACAGCTAGTGTTGGTGAGAAGCAACAAGCAGGAAGTGGAGGAGACGAAGCACAGAAGGCGCTTTGGTAGTAGGCATAATTATTTTGGGAGTAGGTGCTTTGGAATAACACAAAGCAGCCTTTTTTGTTTGTTTGTTTGTTTTTAAAGCTGTTTGCTAGCTAGCAATGTAAGCACCTAATTGGAAGAGGAGAATATGTGGACACTTGGCTAAATCTTAGTGAGGCATATGTGTAGAAAAGTCAACAGTGACGTCAGTGTCAGCTTCCAGTGTTCTTTGCAAATAAGCAAGAATAGATAATCAAGTATTACTGAAAAGTTTGACTTAGAACACTATTACCTTTGGATTGGCTGGTTTAGGTATGGACATTGGGTGAAATGGACATGCAAACGGAAGTGGACAGTGGCTGAAGGGGGATGAGGTGTTTGTATCTGCTATAGTATGTGACTCCTTCATGGATCGCTGCCTTGTTGTGGCAAAGGGGCTTGCATAGCTCAATGAAGCTATGAGCTATGCTGTGCAGGGTCACCCAAGACGGACAGGTCATAGCAGAGAGCTCTGACAAAATGTGATCCACTGGAGAAGGAAATGGCAACCCACTCCAGTATCTTTGCCGTGAAAACCCCATGGACAGTACCAAAAGGCAAAAAGATATGACGCCGGAAGATGAGCCCCTCAGGTCAGAAGGTGTCCAATATGCTACTGGGGAAGAGTGGAGGGCTAGTACTAGTAGCGTCAGAAAGAATGAAGCGACTGGGTCAAAGCCGAAAGGACACTCAGTTGCAGATGTATCTGGTGGTGAAAGCAGAGTCCGATGCTGCAAAGATCTATACTGCATAGGAACCTGGAATGTAAGATCCATGAATCAAGGCAAGCTGGATGTGGTCAGACAGAGATGACAAGACTGAACATTGATATCTTAGGAATCAGGGAACTAAAATGGACAGGAATGGGTGAACTTAATTCAGATGACCATCAGGTATACTACTGTGGGCAAGAATCCCTCAGAAGAAATGGAGTAGCCTTCATAGTCAATGAAAGAGTAGGAAAAGCAGTACTGGAATACAATCTCCAAAATGACAGAATGATCTCAGTTCGAATCCAAGTCAAACCATTCAACATCACAGTAGTCCAAGTCCATGCCCCATCCACTGGTGCTGAAGAGCTGAAGTTGACCAGTTCTGTGAAGGCCTACAACACCTTCTAGAATTAACAACAAAAAATGATGTCCTTATCGTCATGGGGGATTGGAATGCTAAAGTAGGAAGCCAAAAGATAACTGGAATAACAGGCAAGTTTGGCCTTGGAGTACAAAATGAAGCAGGACACAGGCTAGTAGAATTTTGTCAAGAGAATACAATGGTCATAGCAAACACTCTTTTCCAACAACCCAAGAGACAACTCTACACATGGACATCACCAGACAGTCAACACAGAAATCAGATTGATTATGTGCTCTGCAGCCAAAGATGGAGAAGCTCTATACAGTCAGTAAAAACTAGACCAGGAGCTGACTGTGGCTCAGATCATGAGCTTCTGGTTGCAAAATTTAGGCTTAAGTTGAAGAAAGTAGGGAAAAGCACTAGGCCACTCAGGTATGACCTAAATCATATCCCTGATGAATATACAGTAGAGGTGACAAATAGATTTAAGGAATTAGATCTGATAGACAGAGTGCCTGAAGAACTTTGGACAGAGGTTCGCAACATTGTACAAGAGGTAGCAGCTAAAACCATCCCAAAGAAAAAGAAATGCAAGAAAGCAAAATGGCTGTCTGAGGAAGCTTTACAAATAGCTGAGGAAAGAAGGGAAGCAAAAGGCAAGGGAGAAAGAGAAAGATACACCCAATTGAATGCAGAATTCCAGAGAATAGCTAGAAGAGATAAGAATGCCTTCTTAAATGAACAGTGCAAAGAAGTAGAAGAAAACAATAGAATAGGGAGGACCAGAGATCTCTTCAAGAAAATTGGAGATATGAAGGGAACATTTCATGCAAAGATGGGCATGATAAAGGACCAAAATGGCAGGGACCTAACAGAGGCAGAAGAGATTAAGAAGAGGTGACAAGATTACACAGAAAAAGTATACAAGAAAGAGCTTAACGACATGACTTCATGACTAACAACAACTACATAGTATGTGAAGTAAGCAGATGGCGTATATGTTGTTCATAGGGGTATTAAGGGTATATGCATAATGATTGACAGCCATGTAGATCCTACTGGTCCTGCTAAATCTAAGGATCTCTTCACTTAGATATTTTCCTGAAGGGAAAAAAAAAACCTCTGGCTGAATCACATTGGGAAACTGAATGAGGTGAAATGAGAGCCAATAATAATAGGGCTCTGTGATACCACAGTTAGTTAACTTCTTGATCCTGCATAGCACAAGCTGAACAACTTAGGCTCAGAGGTTATTTGGAACAGAGGTTACAGGATCCCTTGTAAGGTAAAAATGGGACTGTAGTGAACGACTTGCAGAAAACCCAGGTGCTGAATAAGGGAATATTCTGATGGATGGCTTTTGCAATGTCA